TTTCCAATAGCGATGAGAGGTTGGTGGTCCGTTTCCAAGGTTATGGGTCTTCCATAAATGAAATCGTGAAACTGCTCACAACCAAACGTGCTTCCCAGTGCTTCCTTTTCAATTTGGGGGTATCGAGATTCGCATTCTGTCAGCACTCGGGCTCCATAAGCTACAGGCCTCCACTCTGTGTCATGTCGTTAGAAGAGAGCTGCGCCAAGGCCATAGCTGGACGCATCCGTGGACACTTTAGTATCTAGTGCTTCATTGTAGAAGGCAAGGACTAGTGCTGTGGTCAGCGAGGTTTTTAGGGTCTTCCACTCGTTGTCATGGTTGGGGGTCCACTCGAATACCGACTCAGTCTTGAGCAGGTTCGGTAGGAGGGTGGTCCGGTCCGAGAACCTAGGCAGGTACTTGCTTAAATATGCGAACACGCCCAGCATGCGTCGAACATCCTTCTTGTCTTTGGGAACTCGGATATTCACTACGCTGTCCACCAAGCTCTTGTCAGGCTGTATGCCAAGTGCACTGATCCTGTCACCCAGGAAAACCACTTCCTTCACGCCAAACCTGCATTTCTCCGCGTTTAAGATGAGTCCTGCACGACTGGCCGCCCGTAGAGCTGTACAGAGCCGTGCCTCGTGTTCGGCTTCCGTGACCCCCCAGATGATAATGTCATCTATGTAGACTTTTACACCTGACAAATCTTCAAAAACCTGAGACATTCTTTTTTGCAAAAATTCGGGTGCCGAGGCGATGCCAACGGCAGTCGTTTGAAACAACAGCGCCCTAAAGGCGCGCCAAACGTGCAAATTTTTTAGGTCTCGTCGTCCAGGGGAATTTGATGAAATCCATAGCTGGCATCTAGCCGTGAAAAAACTTGCATCTTTCAGGTCTGCCTCAATGTCTTCTCTTTTTGGCGTCTAGTAATGCTGTCTCTTGAGGCACTCATTTATGTGCCTTGGGTCCATGCAGACTGATTCTGCCATTTTACGGACAATTACTAGTTGGCTTACCCAGTCAGTGGGTTCGCTCATTTTGGTGATCACCCCGGCGGCTTCCATTCTGTCCAGCTCTCTTGAGTGGTTCCTTCAACATGTGCGGTACTCTTCGCGCAGGCTTAATAACAGGCTGAGAGCCGTCCTTCAGGACCATCTTGTAAGGGTTGTTTATGCAGCCGAGGCCCTCGAAGAGCTTCGGAAAGTCGGAAGCAACCTTCCGCTCCAGGTGTGTCTTTTTTATGACGCTGTGGACTCGACTCACGAGCTCGAAGGTTTCGCTTGCCCGAAGGCTTAAGAGTGCCTGCCGAGCTTTCTTCACGACGAAGAATTCAATTTTCGCCTTTTTGGAATTGATTTCTACTGGAAGACACCCTGTTCCTAGGTGACTAATCTGGTCGCCGCTGTAGTTCCTCAAGAAGCCACCGTTCGGTCGCGTGTGTCCCGCCTTGTTAAGCCTTTTAAAGACACAGTGTGGCAGAATGCCCACCTGTGCTCCTTGATCTACCTTAAGTAGGACCTTTTGGTTAACCACTGACGCTTCCACCAGCCAGTTGGCTTTGTCTCCTGTGACAGTTTGCACTTCCAGCACCGCAAAGTCATCATGTTCGCACGTGACGCCGTCGGTTACCCTCCGATCGTCGTGCCCGTACACTCGCGATCTGCAACACGCTGCCCATTGATTTTTTTTCTTGCACTTCGAGCAGAATTGTTTATACGCGGGGCAGCGCCTTGGCTCGTGCTGTTGATTGCACCTGCTACATTTCTGTGCTTCGACTTCTTTCTGCGATGCCGACACTGGATCGTGGAAGTGCTCTGGTGCTTCCCAGGCATTTTTGTGAGTTTCCGTTAACTCGGCTGTTTTGCAGAGCTGCACAGCCTTCTCTAGAGTTAAGCTTTCTTCACTAAGCATACGCTCCCGTAGTTTTTTGTCAGTGGTTCCGTAGACGATTTGGTCCCGCGTCATCGAGTCGGCGAGGGTACCAAATTTGCAAGATTGCACCTTGAGTTGGAGGTCCCGAAAGTAGTTTTCAAACAACTCACCTTCTTTCTGCCTCCTAGACCGAAATACGTAGCGCTCATACGTCTCGTTGCAGCGAGGCGTGCAGTAGGTCTCGAACCTCTCAAGGAAGAGGTTCTGCATCTGTGCACTGGAAGGTATTGTACACTTCCAGAGCGTCCGGTCCTGTGATGTGTAGGAGTACTGCCGTTTTTTGTTTCGCCGAGCGTGGTTTTTCTGGCTCCGAGGCTTCCAAAAACAGCTCCAGCTGTTGAAAGAATGTTTTCCAGTTCTGGGCGAGGTTTCCGCTGAGTCTGAGTCCCTCAGGAGGCTTGAATCCCTCCATAGCTGGCGTTGTGGCTTATGTCGGTGCAGGGACAGTCAGCAGGACAGTTCTGACACCATGTATCGGAAACCAGCGAAAAACCAAGACGACGGTGTGAACCGAACGAACTTCAATCCTTTAATGGCGGATTGGACGCTCGTGCCTCGAGTCCCTATATGGGGTGGCTGAGTTGCCAGACCATGTTGCTGGCTCTGCCGTTACACTAGCCATTTGTTGGGATTATTTGCTGCAAGTAGATTGCACTCTACTCCTTTACTGGTCTATTGTAGCGACTGCTTTTTTAGATGGTCATTTTTGTTTTTCCTATTATGGTATTGTGGAATGTGTAAGTTCCCATTTTGATCTTTGTTAATACTCTCTTTGGTCACTGACCTTGAATGCAACTTCCTTTTCTTTCGTACATTGGTTCTGCTTTACACATATGTGAAGCGTGAAGGTGATCCTAAATTCTCAGAGAATTTTGGACCACCTGGAAAAGTCAGGGAATTATCAGGGAAACTGTCAAAAGGTTGGCTAAATCAGGGAAAGTGACCAGTAAAAGTGGCACGGTGGTGCGTAACGAAGCCCGGCGACCAGGTGTTGTCACGGCACTGCTGAATAGCATTGCCCAAAATGTCATCCTTCGAAGGAAGGAACAGCCAGGGAATTTTGTCGAAATAGCCATGGAAAACCTGAACAAATCATGAACTTTGAAATAAGTCATTTGGTAGACACCCTGTAAGATTTACTTAATTAGGCAGTGCATATTGCATGCCAAGCCTTGGTGGAATCATTTGTGATGAGTGGGTCGCAGGTACACCTGGCACCAGTCTGCTTGTAGCAGTCTTTTGTCAGCCATTTCATGTGTGCTTTTTATGGTAGTGGTCATGTTAAAACTTACATGTTAAATGTGACCTGTTAAGCGTTACATGAACGTAAAACCTGTATTAGTCCGTTGGTTGGCTTTCAGTTCTTATTATTTTGGTCATTATTGTTAGGTCTATACTAGTGGCAATCTCGTTTAGACATTTACTTGTCTGTTTTTTTCTCATTGTGGTCATCTTGCATCTCAGAATTGTTCTGCTGAACTTTTTATTTGCATTCAAATTGCATTGGATCAAAAAGCTTTGATACTGCATGGCCAGTTTTTTTTTTTGTATTTGTTGCTGGTGCTTCATATGTTATATGTGTGTGTGCGCCTTGCATGGAACTTGTTTGAGAATACAAAATAGGCTTTCAATCCAATTGCAGTTGTAATTCCAGTCGTTTGATAAGATTTTCATGCATGCCATAATATGCTTGTCCTATTTTTGCAGGATGAACTGTTTGTGAATCCTTGATACACGGTGATTGTGTTTTGTAGTTTTTGTAATTATATACCAGGCACAAACTGTCCATCATATTTTTTTGTTGCGATAATAAACTTTGTTGATTACTTCCCGGCTGTCTTCTTCTGGGCAGCACAAACCTACATGGGTTTCTTGGCTTGTAAAGCCAGTGTTAACTGTATATAGTATTTTCCATTAGTAGTCCGCATTAGAATTCACACATACGTGAGAAGTAATTATAGCTGAAATTTGGCATGCGGAAATAGTAGAAAAAACATAACTCGCGGCAAACCGGATGGCGCAGGCTAACGCCCCACACACTACGCCAAACTAGATATCTATTCATCCGGTACTTTTTTTTTATTGTGACTCCATTCATTCAGTTGCTGACTACGACGGCCGCTGAGTGCGCTCCCTGCCAGCTAAATGGGCCGCTGGGGCCTATGGAAGTGTCCGCTCTTTACCTTGCGTAGATTACTCTATACCTCTACTTCGTTGGCTCGCGTGTTTGCGAACCCCAACGTCGCTAAGAAAGCGAGGTGGCGTTATGATTTTCATCCAGCTACTATATGGCTGGACGTTTTAGGTCATGAATGCCTCAATGTCGAGAAAGGTCTAGTTAATCTAAAATTGTTTATTCTGCTGTAAACTTTTATAGAAACTAATTAATGTATCTTAGTTGTTTTTTTTTTAAACAAGATTAAAATATTTTTATTAAATCAAATCAAACCTCGTTCATTTTGTGTGAAACAAATAAAGACAATAACATCAAGCTAACCGTTGCAGCCAACATGCACATCTACACTGCAAAGCTTTATATTTCACTCAAAATTCAAAATTCATTTCATTCAGACAAACGTTGTATATAAGTCATCTATATGTCCCCAAAGACTATAATTTAGGAAGCTGCCCTTAATTTTTGGAAGTTGTTTTAAATTACGTTCCTCCTTATTGTAATCCTGCCGTAGTTTAAAAAAATGTTAAAATAAAAACTGAACTCGATGATGGCCATTATTTTTATGTAATCTTTGCTCTCAACACGTCCTACCGAATTATTGACACTGTTTTTTGTTTTTTTTTATGAACAGACGCCTGAGAACCCTTGAACGCATATAACACTATACTCGGAAAGATGATTTAATAAAACAATTGACTATATACTAATAAAATAAATATAATTAAGTAGGTCCATAAGATAAGGTGCTAATATTTTAACAAGAAAGAAATTAATTCACCACAAGAAGCGCATTCCGTTGTATGTTTCTTTTGTCCGTTTCAGATATTTGTAGCTCAATAGTATGCAGTCAAGTACAGGCTAGTCCACCTACCCATTCTAATGATGTAACAAATATTACTTGCAGGCCACTCTAGAGCTTCGCAAATGCGAATTCTCCTACAAACGTGAAACTCCATCGGGGCAGAAATATGAAGGGACGTACGCACTTCCTGAGGGATTTCCCTGCGCTTTTGGTTCGGTAAGTTCCTATGTATACATTCGAAAAACTGCTCAAATATGTTTTACGATTTTGGCAACTTAGCATAGATGAGTAAGACATAAGCGGGCCTCCGTTTCTTTACTTGGTCGAAAGATACGTCATCATATTCCTGTTATCGACAAAACAGGCTTTTAATTAAGAATGTCATTTAAGCGTTTACATAAGCGTAAAATTCCTATTCAATATTTTACAAAATAGTAATATTGTTTCTGAATTACCACTGCCATAGTTTGGTGCGTAGTGCAGGATTGATCACGTAATAAATTGGCAATGAAAATACACGTATTTTCTTCTTACAGAGATGTGAATGGGGAGTCTGCGAGTGCAGCGCATGTCCCTAACATGGTACCAAGCTGAAAATGCATCTTTTTTTTGGAGAGGCGTGCATCGGCAGTACCTCCTATAAAAAAATAAATGTATTGTGCAATCCGGTTCCTTGTATTTCTATGCTGTTTGGAGCCGCACTTTGTGCCGCTTTATTTTAGAAACATTTATCTTACTGAATTAAATGCCAGGGACAGGGCGACTTGAACTTTGTTCTTGATTTATATGTACGGTATTTTATTTTCCCATTAGGAACTGTCATTTCAAGTTTTTCTCGCCAAAATATACGGTCGTTACTCATCCCGTCGAACTAGTTAGACCATTTATAGCGTGTATACGAAACATTTTTTTTCTTTTTTTTTTCTGCAGTTTGTGTTTTCGCTTCGTGTGAGTAAAGTACTGCTGATGCTGTTGCCCTAGGGAAACAAGGGGACTCTCAAAAGCAGTTCTTGTACTGCTTTTTCCGTCTTTCCTCTTTTCTTTATAAAAAGAGACAAATAAAATTCAATTCAGTTGCATTGAATTTGTGCCGTGAAGTGTGCAATCGTTCTTGGCCATCCGTTTAACCCAGAGAAGGCCTTAGCGCAAAACTAGTTTCTTTGAATGCGAAAAAAAATAATTCACATTTACCTGACAAGACCCGAAAAAAAGAACATCCTGACGGTGTTATTAAATTTAGTTGCACTCTAAAAAAAGAAGGGTGTTCCTGGGTGTATCGCGCGCCCTTACACACCTCTTCGACTGGAGACACCCCGACAAGCGTACTAGTACTCCCATTATGCAAATCCTCCTTTCCCAAAGGAATCGGCGGGCGAGGCGAAGCTGTTCCCAGGTGCACCATTACACCACCACGCACAACACCGGCTAGCAAGCCCAAAACGTATGAGTTGAAATCAGCTGGATTTTTCGAAGGATCCTTTTACTGCTCACACAATTAAGAAAAAGTTGCCAACATATATAATGTATATTTATTGCACCAAAATATTCTTCAAAACCGAGACGAGATTCACAGAGCGATCTTACGACGAAAAACGTGCGCACCAAAAATGTAAGTAATCCGTACTCACGAAGCGAAATGATCGCGAGTTTTGCGTACCTTACGTAGGATTCCGAAACAGCTTCCGAGCTGTCTTTCGCACTTTTGCAGTCGACATGTCCGTCCGCGTTGCACGGTTGTTTGTATTTTGCCGCAACAAGCGACGGAATTTTTTTTAAATTCTCTTAAACTTCGGTCGCGTTCCGACTTCACCTAGAGAACGGGAAGAAAGAAATTGAACTACACGCCGAGGATTCCCGGAGCAGTCACAGGAACCACTACGACGGTACCGGCAGAGCGGACAAGAAACCGAAGTCGTTGACGGGAAAGGCCTAGGCGCTCCATGCCAGCAGACCGCACGCCCTGCTGAATGGAAGGGCGAAAGGAAATGCCCTCACGATCTTTTTTCTTTTTTTTTTTTTTTTTTTTCTCTATGGACCTTTTTCGCGTGAATAGCCCAAACAATGACCTCAAATGTATGGTTATAAAAGTCGGATGCAACCTGAGAACAATCTTTTAGCTCCACCCACAAGCACATTGCGCCCATGTGAAGTGCCTCCGCCGTCGAGAAAGTAGTTCGCTAGCAACGTTGCTTTTTTCTTCCTCCAGGAAACGTGTCTTAAACTACTACAATATTTATTTAATTTATTCAGGACCTTTAAATAAGTTAGAATACGTTTTTGTCAACGAAATAGCTGTTTAGTAAAGAAAGAAAGTCATGTCCAATGTACCGTCTTCCCAAATCATTTTCTCTCCAAGATACTGTCTAACATACCGTCTAACATACTTCTCAGCAGTGCTAAGCCTCGCGCCCGCTTCGAAATTTTAGTTGGCGATAGCGTCGCTGGATTCTCACGTCGTCGCGCAAAAACTGCTGCAAACGCAAGCCGATACCATTAGGATTTCGTGGCGTAACCTCGGGCACGTAAAACACGGTGCAGAAAAGCAGAATAATTGTCACGAGAAACTAGCGTCGCGTTGCTAAAACCAACAGCCATGTTCAGCCTTTTTTTTTTCAAAAGGATCGCGATTGGTCCACGGAATCGTGACGTCATAAAAACGATTGGCTGGCGTTTCTCGGCGTAGGATTACATTTTCCTCTGAGAGGCATTTCCGGTTTTTTCTTAGCTTGCAACCGACTATAGTAGTCTAATTTGTTTCCCTTGCCGATCTCGCGGCGATGGTACGGTGACCAACATACCGACGTTCTCGTCAATTCCATTTTTTTTTTTTGACGTAGAACTAAAATAAATGTTGTATGGATTACCCTCATGACACATGGTACGTAAGATTTTATTTCTTGAATGAGCGCGTCTCTTGCATTTAGACGTGACGATGGTAAGATCTCTCGAGACGGATCGAGTTCGAACAACACCTCGGCCGAATTCCACGTCAACGAAGAGTTGCGACTATCTAATCTTCTCGTGGTTGACAAAAGAGACGCGATCCAATCACGCATCTTCAGCCATTCAAGCGGTCGAGAAGGCATTATCGCTCTACAACTGAAAACTGCGGAATTTACCGTGTCTCTTGCTGGCACCGAACGTTTCTTTTCGGAGATTGGCAGCTTACTGCCAGATCCTCGAGAGCACGAACAACGGCGCGGCAAATTTATTCCCATGATTTGCGCCTTTCCAGCGAGTTGCGGGCCGTATCCTTTTCCAACATACACTGTAAAAAGTGGCCGTCACTTTTACAGCGATTTTCTTTACAATTTGGACGAGTCCTCACTGTCAACGAAAAGACGTCAACAAACGGAAAGGGGAGATCGACAGGGAGCGCAAGAAAACAAGCAAAATACGCGCGGTAATAGAGCGTCCCGATTAGGTGAGTAATGCGATTAGCTGTTACTGGTAAAACGTCATCCGACTGACAACCTATCGTGATAGCGACCACGTTTCGCACGTTATCTGGCCTTCGCGTTGCTAGGAGACTTGATCTCCTCACTTCCTTCACTCCCTCTTGTCTTCCTGACGAAGGCCGGACTCCGGCCGAAACGTCGAAGATCAAATCGTCCGTTGTTGCTGTTTTTCACTAAGGGTTTTTTTCTTCTCAGTTTTTTTTTCTTCTCAGTTTTATACCAACGCCTTCGGCCTCCCGCCACCATGCCCGTTATATATATATATATATATATATATATATATATATATATATATATATATATATATATGTATCTTTGAAGTGCTCGGTGGAACAGGGTTGTTTTACATAAATGTAGCTTCTTCGTGAATTAATCATATAGTTGATACATGTATGCAGGCATATTTCTTAGAAGATGCACAATTACTGGAAATTAGTTTGTATGGTAGCAGCAAAAACTGCCGAATTGCCCCCAGTTGCCTGTATGATATGTATTGAACTGCCCAAAATATGCACAGCAATAGTGCTGTAATTTGGAATGTTTATACTTTTTTCTGACATTTTTATTCCAGGCTTGGGTATTCGGAAAATACACCGTTTAGTCTGAATTGTAATCTCCAGGTAAAAGAGATACTGCTGCATGTCTCCAAAAGCTTCCTCAGCCTCCAAACTCCCTACAGCTGTACTCTCTGACAACAGAGGAAAACAGGAGTAAAAGCAAGCATTCGAAGGTCTGTCCCCCTTCTGAAAAAAACCATTTGGCGCCCATATGAAAATAAACGGGTCCATACCGGTAACCGTTTAACCATACTGGTCACCAGTTTGTCAAAGGGGTCGCCCGTATGGCTCAAAGGGGTCCCCCGTATGAGCCATAACGGTCACCTATTTGGCAAACGGGTCGCTCGTCTGGGCAAATGGGCGACTCGTTTGGGCAAAGTTGTCGCACGTTTGCTCAAACCGGCGACCATGTTGCAAACTGCACCGGTTTAATCAAACGGCTCTCCGGAGCCCGTTTGATATTGAACGTACAGATCGGCGGCGTGGGCACGCCTAGCGTTTCAGCCGTGGCAGCCAATGTTTTCCGGAAGGCTGGGAGCGCCGGTTCATCGATTTCAGATCGTCCGCGTAATGCAAGTAATTATATTTATATTTCAATTGCGCTGATTTTCGATTATACTGCAACTAAAACTAACACCTTTTTTTTTTTTTGTTTTGCGTAAACGCGCGACGTTGGTGAGCCGATATTTTTGACAGACCTTTAATACTTTGTCCATCTTTGTTGCCTCAATTTACTTATTCAGCTCGAATCTCTCTCGCAGAAGACGCGACCGCGTGAAAGAATGTACGTCTAGACTCCGTTTCACTTTAATTCAAGACGCAGCGAAGGTAGCACGCGTACACGTGGCTGCAAGAACACCGAGCATTGCGAGAGCACGCCCGCCGTTGCAGCACTCAAACTACGAGCTTGCGCTGAGTTCTTTCTTCGCTCGGGCGCAAGCCGAGCTTCTGGCAGCCCCGCCGCCATTTCCAAAGTTCGAGCGCGCGCGCGCGCGCGCGTTTGTTCTTCGGGACTACAAAAACGCATCTCCCTGGAATGCCTGGGGGGAGGGAGAGGGGCTGCCCCGGTGGTCCCAGCGCCTTCACCTCGCCCCCTCCCTCCTCTCTTGTCACCCCTGTCACGTGACCCACAGCAGCGCGCGAGCTACACGCTGATAAGCATCGATATCCGGAAGGGCGCGCCTTGCAGCCGCTTTTTTCTTTGTCTGCTTGTTGTCAGTTGCTGCTCGAAGTTCGCTCGTCCTACCTGCTTCAATCTGTCGCGTAACCCTGCGGTCTTATTGGGATGTCTCTCGACAACGTATTGGATGTGCACCAAAGCTATCAGTGTTCGAAAAGACCCACGTGTATGTCGGCAACGAGCGATTCTTCAAAGAAGTCGCAAATTCTCGCGGTTTGGTTGGGTTCGGCAAATGACAGCTTGTGCGCCGCATCGTGTTGAAACTTCCAAGGAGCCGTTCCCTCTCGTTTGTGTTTGTGTGGTTGTCCTGCTTTGACCGTGGCGACAAATATCACGGATTACCTCTTTCAAGTCCCCTATTGTTATGGTAAGTGCACTGCAAC